CTCCAACCTCTGTAGCCATGGTTAAGGAGATGCTTTTTTCTGCAGGGAATGTTTCTCAAAATTGTCCTCAATAAGGATAGTTAGTAAGGGACTTTTAGTTGCTTGAGTTCAGCTCCCTGCAAACTGGACCCCTTAACACAAAACACCTCCACTCCACTCCACTCCACACACCACAGGTGCTGCCTCCAGCCTGCAATATACTTGAGGCCAGCTGTGAAAAATGGAGAAAACTGCATGAACTTCATTGTGCTTCTGGTGGGAGAGTTGCCTATGTGATGCCTTAGGGTGTGAATGCATGTAAACAGAGACAGGCTTCCCCTGCCCAGCTGTAACATCAGCTCCGGGAGAGGCAGAGGGCAGCATTTACTCTTCCATCAGCGCTCAATCCTTTCTCTTTTCCCCATTTTCTAGCTCACCCAGAATACTGGTGTCAGGATGGCTGGAGCAGCAAATGTCTTGAAAGTGGGACAGCCAGGCTCCTGTGGGCACTCATGAAGCAGTCTGTTCCTGGCTGGCTCTGACCTTCACAGCGGACTGGACGGCCTTCATCTCCCCAAAAAAAAGATTCATTGCCACAGGCAGCATCTCTGTTCCTCTCCTCTAGCCTCATCTGTTTCCTATGTGACTCAACAAGCTGCAGTCAGGCTTGGCAGCAGTGTCCACAGGAACTGCACTGGTACATGCCAAGCTGAACTCAACCTTCTCTGTTGATAGTCTTTTCCATATAGGGATGACTTGTTTATATGGTATTTAAATATTATTGTGCAATATCCAATGCACGGATGGGGTGATGGGGGTTTCACGTGTTTTTAATCAGTTATTTAAATATTACCAGGGAGAACAAGCTGTGAGTGCAGGTGCTGGCCCTGATGGGCTTTCATGTAAGACCCAGCCCTGTTGGCTTCCTTGGCCCATCCACGCAGCTGCAGGAGCATATTTTGGTGCTATACAGAAACTGCTGCCTCTTGGGAGAGCAGAAGGCAGCTGTTGATAACTTTCTTCAGCTTATTCTCAGTTTACAGTGGGTGGCAAGTGGGGCCACAATGGGGAGCAAACCATGGAAATATTCCTGGTTAAAATAATTTGTGGGTCATTATGGATTTTGATTAGCTTTAATAGAGTGGATTAATTATTTTCCCCATATAACCATCTTCAGCAAAAGTGTTGCAACCTGTCTGTCCTCTAGCACTCGCTTGTCTTGCCTCAGTGCTGTAAGACCCGAAAGCATCCCCAGCATGGCCCACGCACTCTCATCTGTGTCATTGGCACACAGTAAAGGTACGACAGGGAAAATCTCTGGCCAAGATACAGAGCGAATGGCCAGAAGGAAACTCAGCAAAAGCCAGTGCTGAAATCTCCTCTCCAGCATGTGGTACCGTGGATCAGTAGACACTTTTGCACGTGTCCTCAGGCTTTGGTCTGTGCTGAGCAGCAACTCAGCATGGGCTGTCTGTTCATACCAGTGAGAAGCCTACCTTAAAATTACCCAGGTGGTAAAACAGCAGAAATATTAATGCAACACATGGTGCTTCTGTAGGGCAACTCATTTACGCCAGGTTTTTTCTCCAGGACGTGGATGGAGAGAGCTGTCTGTGTGCACTTTAAGCAGCTGATGGTTCTGACCCTGAGGACCCTCCCTTCTGAATTTGTTTTTTATTTTTTTTAATCCTAATAATTTGGGCTTTTGTACGTTTTTTTCTCAGGATTTTAAATTAAGACCTTTTGTTATGCCAAATTTTTTATTTTTTTTTCCCCTTGAAATGATTTCCTAGGAGAACAGAGAGAATTCTGGAGCTATGGTTACAACAGTTCTGTTGTGTCTGATTTATTATGGACAAATCCTCAAACAGTATGATTACTGCTGCACATGTGAGAAACTGTATTATTGGCATAAAGAAGAGAAGTCTTGTCTGATGGTTCTCTTTTCCTAAGCTCTACTGATTTTAAAAAAACAACAGATAAACCCTAAGCACTCATTAAATTTGTAGTTATATGAGCAGTATATCTGTAGGATGACTTAAACCACACTAGTTTTCACAACTTTACTACCTCTCTCTCCACAAGGAAACAGTATACAGGGTGTGTTTTTCATTTCTGGTTGATTATTCCTTATCTTGATCATTTTGGACTTTTTCTTACCTTCTGTATGCCTGGAAAACAAACCAACATAAAATACTTCTCTCCGAAATAAGGGATGGCAAGTGAAAGACATCAGCTTTCTAATCTTTATATGACTTTTTCTATAGTTGAGGCATATTGCATATAAACAACCTATATTCAAACAACCCCCTAACTTGTTGTTTCTTGGGGTGCAGCTAATGCGGCTATGTAATGGCATGTTTTACTGCTCACAGGTGGAGCAGAAAGCTGGGTACATACTGTACATACACCGTAGTAGTACAGATTCAACCACAAGAACTTGGTCTTATACCTGAGCCCTCACTGAAGACAGCAGCATACTTCTGCTTACACCCCTGCTCTTTATCAAATGGCCACCAAAAATCACTAAAAACATTGTCACTGCATTTCATGTGAGCATGGGATCACACTTTTAAAAGATGGCCCTGGACACACAAAACTCAGAGGACAACTGGACGTGCCCAAACTCTAATGGAAATCTGGAATTTTGCTGGAATACCATAAAGTCTCCAAAAGGTAGTTTTAAATAAGTCCTTTTAAATTTTCATATGTGTGCAAGTTGAGTGAATGAGAATAGGGGAACTGCAGAAGGAGTAAGAGACGGTGAAACCTGATTTTTTTGAAAGATAATGTTACTTGGGAGAATATATATCAAAATACATCTTGCTTGCTCCTGTGTCCACACACTAATGGTTTACAATAATGCTCTTTATGCATCTATGCAAATACTTGAAGAATGCAATTCATTGTGCCTTTTGCCTAGTTTTAATAAATTTGTCTGTTGTCATTAAGAAATATTCCGTCACTGTGTGCTATTTCGTTACCTTGGTTCAAATGTTCATCTTATATGTGGCATTTGTCCAGAGATGGCAGGAGAGCTGAAGGAATGGCTTTTATGAAATGCACTTCTAGGCACTGAGGAAAGATGAGTCCCGTTTACAGTCTTTTTCTAAAATAAATGGCATAAAGCGTGACACCAATTAGGATGCCAAATCAGAGCTAGAGCAAGTTACTGGGATTATTTTCTGCTACCAAAGGAGGGCACTGCTGCTTTACTCTCTGTCCCAGATGCTCTTCTGCTGTACTCTCCTGTCCTTCAGCCTCTTTATCCTTTAGAGCTACACCAATAAGATCAGACAAATGATTAAAAACTTTCAGATCCACCTGCAAGGGTTTGTTGTGGTTTTTTTTAGAAATAGCCTTTATTTGCCTTTTCACATGCAAAAAAAAAAAAAGTACTGAAATGTTGTTAAAATAAGAGATCGTATATTCCTCTCCCCCACAACCCCAAGTTGCACTTGCTCAGCGATGTTCAGACCCAGGTATAACCAGGGCAGCATCTCAGACAGCATCGGTGTGTCCCCTGACCTGGGACTAACCCAGCCAGAGCTGCCTCTGGACCAAACCAGCTTGGCAAAGCCAGTTCAGGCTTCACTGCTCTGTGTTTGGGATTTGCTGTGAGAAAATAGGCTCCGGTCTCCCTGTGCTATAAGACCCAGCAGCAAGATGGGAGAAACTTTTAACTGCGGTAATACCTTCCTTTGTCACCTTCCAGCTCAAAATGTTATCTCTCCCATCCCTTCATCCTCACCACTGATACAAATCCAAGGGGGTTTTGAAGGTGAACCATGAGCAAGAGTCTGGGTAACATCCATACTATATTGAGAGAGATGGAGGGGGGTGAACAGAAC